TCTTGAGGATTGATATCAACTATCGCTCCTTTCCCAGTACGCGTAGAGTCCCGCCGCTCGGTATGCCCACCCTTAGCGTCAGTCGCGCGAGGCCCAGACAGAGGATGCTTGCCAGTCCCTTTAGCCAAGGTGGCCCAAACTCAACGACCCGCTGAGGAGTCGAACCCTGCCCAGCTGCCTGAGCAACAGGCACTGAAGACAACAGGCACTGAAGACTCGCCTGCAGTCTCAGCGCTTGCAAAAACTTCTTTTGCTCATGGCCTTAGCAACCCGGTCATCCTGCCAATGCTCGCGCAGAGCATGTTGCAGGACGTCCAGCAACTGTTCAGCCAAGGACTTTCCTACTCGGACCCTGAGGCCGCTGCAGAAGGCCCTTGGCCCTGGCCCTCGCCTGGACGTGGCGGACGCAGCTCTGTGTCACGCCAAAAGCTCGTGCCAGCTCCTTTGCCGACAAAGGAGGAGCCGTGGCGTCACTGTTGTTGTTGGGACCCGCACCCTTAGCTCGGTAGGCGTCCAGAAACTCCAGGGGAGCCGCTGCCAAAGAAGCGTCCCCATCAGTAGGTCCTGGGTTGGAAGCCTCCCCGACGCGAGTCCCTTTGAGGGGGTCCCAGCACGAAAACGCATCTCCCCACCAACGCACGGCCCTACACAGCCACGTGGAAAAGAAGTCCCCCCATCCCGCACTGTGCATCCGGGGCAAGAAGTCGACAGAGGAGTCTGTTCGGCAGGAGGCGAAGAAGCCGTAGGCAGAACCTTACGCTTACGTCCCTGCCACCACCAGTACAAGCGACTTTCACTGAGGCAGCGCGCCCGCCTGCGACAACGAATTCCCGCTGCTTTAACACGGCTCCTACCTACGTGTCTGCCAGGGCCCAGGCGACACACTCTGCGCAGGAGCGCTTGCCAAGCCTTGTGCTGCTTTCTACGTCTCCGCACATTGCCTTTGCCTCGCGCAAAGCCTTAAGAGCTTGCCGCGTTTGCCGGCACCGGCGGGGAAGACAACTCGACCAACAAGGAAAGTTGAGACCTAACCCGTCTGGGACTCGGACCAAACCTGTCCTTGGTAGCGCTGCTTGCGCTTTCTCTGCATCTGAAGTGCGGCACACACGAGCTCGTCCAGGGCAGAGCTCCACGCGACGCAAGTGCCCGCACAAGCAGGCAACTAAAACTCCCAAGCCGAAGACGACCGAGAGTTTGGAAAAACACTGACGCACAGCACTGTCCGTCGTGAAGTGTACTAAGAGTCCTAGTCCTACCGCAAAAGGGAAACTGTCATTGCTATGGGGGTCTCGAAGGAGCCCCGTCAGCTCAAATGGAACAGTCCTGCCCGGAAAACCCAAAACAAGACTGCGGCATACGTGCAAGCAAGACACCGAAACCATTCGGAACCCAGGGTTGAGGAAGGGGCCGCCAGGAGGTAAGCAGCAGTTCAGAGGTGGGCCTTTGCCTCTTGTCTTTTTTCTTGACTCGTTCTTGTATTCTCCCACTCACAACTTTTAGGGGCTCCTTGAGCTCCTCTTCATGGGGTCTTATGTTGTTTCTTGAAATAACACACACTCTCGAAGCCAAGTTGCTTGAGACACATTTGCCAAATGGCTGCCATAGGCCCCAGGCGCCACCCCCACTGGAACCGCGTGGAGGTCGGTCTCGTTCCAGCAGAGATTGAGTGTCAACAGGACCCGACGAAGGCCTCAAGATCAGAGTACGGTCGTCTTGACAAGCCAAAGTGGAAACACCAGGGCAGACAGTGGTCATCTGCCACGCGTGCATCAGCGCGGCCGCCAGAATCGGCGAACAAGGGCAGCCTTGAACCAACCCGGAAGAAGCACGGACCCAGCAAGAAGAACACCGGCCTCTAAAAGTGAGCAGCCTAAACTGCTCAGCGTAGAAGTTTGTTAACAGACCAAGCATCGGAAACGGCATTCCCATGCGAGACAGCACCGGAACAAGCAGGGAGAAATCAATGGTGTCATAAAAGCGCGACAAGTCTTCCTGCACGAAGGCCTTGGCGCCTCCCCTCAATGCCGGAGCAATGATGCGATGGGCATCCAGTGTGCTCCGACCTGGAAGGCCGCCAACGTCACCAGGAAGCGTCCAATCTTCCACCCACCGGTTCAAAGCTTTGACAAGGAGGAGAGCTCCCGCACGCCAACAGATGGCAGTCAACCCCACGGGCCGATACTTGCCATTGGCCTTTCTAATCAAGCAGACACGGTTATACCGCCAGGCAGTCGGGACCTGACCAGTAGCGACTATGTGAGTCCATAAAACCGAAAAGGCATCCCAAAAGCAATCCGGCAACAAAGCGAGTGAGCTAGCCTGTAGCCCATCCGGGCCCGGTGCTTTGTCTCTCATGAGGTGCATCGACCACGTGAGAGCCTCAGGGGAGAGATCAGGCTCGAAGGCAGCCCTTTGTGCAGGAGGAAGCCCTTCAACAATCGTGAGAGGGAGCCGTCCACTGTTCAGTCCACTTCTGGTGCTCCTCAGCAAGGACGATTGCAGGGTGGACCGTGCGATTCGCGATCGTCTCAAGAGACGGCTCCGCCTCACAACGCTCAACTTGAAGGTCAGCTCGATCACGGATCCATTTACACTGTTTGGCAAAAGAAGTCCTGATGCTCTCACGCCAATTGGCAAGCCTCTTGGAACGCAGCTCCTCAGAGAAACGGTCCACACAAGCACCAACAAGGGAAAGCGCTTGCTGACAGTCCAAAGTGCCCTAATTGATCACAGCAAACTCAGGGAAGTGGCAGGTCAAGTCACGGATGTCACGCCTGATGTGCTTGGCCATTGAAGGAACGCAACCGTGATACACAGCATGTTCAAGACGTCTAAGAAGCCTACGGGCCCTTCTTAAGTGCAGAGGCTCAGAAGTCTGAGAAGCGTGATGTTGGTCAGACTGACAAGGCGAAGGATTCCAAGGGATGTGTCGCTGCGAAGCCTCAGGGGAACAGTTGAAGAGCGCAGCAACAGCAAAGGAAGAGAGTGCACGCCACATGCCATCGGCATCATGAGCCGAAGAAAAACATGTTGCAAAGGCGTCTTCAGAAAACAAATTACATACCTCTTCACGGTTGCGAGGGGTCTGCACAGGCCACTTTTTCGTGGCAAAAGTCGCGGAAATGTCGGAGATGGGCACATCGTACATCACCAACTCGTGATCGGCAAGACCACTGGTGGTGTAAGCAGCATCTGGAAAGGCACCTGTATGACAAATGCCGTAGTCTATAGTCTTCTTATCACCAGGCCCCGTGGGGGGAGGAGATACATGACGAACATCATCCATGCTGTGGCACCTGCCGCTGGTTAAAACCGACGCAACAGAATATTCATGAATCTCGAAATATAGGACACCCCGAGACCCTTTTCAAATTAATTATTAAGGCCCTCTAGGCCTCTTTACGAGTAAACCGTAAAAGGAACCCAATTGTAATGATGATAAGGCTCCTATATCTAGAGTCTCCATTGTAGTCCCTCTTTTAACCTAATACATTTCATTGGAGCCTAACCACATATTGCATAGCCAAAGAGGAACTATCATTGAGACTATAGGTATGTTGCACAGTTGCACAGCCCGATTTTGTCGGAGCCCTGTCATTGGGTTCGCCCGGCATAAGCCCGCAGCACGCGCGAAGGTGACCGGGCTCATAGGGCTTAGGGTCGTTTAGGGTGCCTTAATGATTGGAATAGGGGTTTGGGGTATGTTGTACTAGAGTTATAATATGGAACACCCCCAAAAAGCAGTGTCAATTATTTAGGCCCCTATACTATGCAAGCTTCTACATTAATCCTGGCAGTTCTGACAACCCAGGGATCCGATCGGGGATATCCCGGGGTCAGTCCTATGTGAGTTTTAAAGATGAAGCTGAACCCTGAACCCCTAAACGCTACTATAAGGGTCTCGGGGAATAGAATAAGGATTGAACAAGGTGTATACTATATTAATTATCAACATAAGTCAGATATAAAGGAAAAAACATTCCAGATCCCCAAGCCCTAAATCCGAAACCCCCAACATTAAAAGGGTTCAGGGGTTTGGGGTTTAGGATAAGCCCTCAGCCCTGAACCCTAAACCCTGGGCAAGCTGGGCCTTGGTGTCGAGCTGCAGCGCTGCCCATACGACGTCCGCCGCAGCCTCCACGGTGGCACCGCCACCACCACCATCGCTGTTGCCTCCGAACTTGCATAGCTTTGGGTTTCTGGTTTAGGGTTCAGTGTTCCGGGCTTACGGGTCTTTGCCAGGAAGTCACTTCAAGCTGACTGCACCCTATATCCAATAGCAGAGCGCTGCAAACAAGTCAGAGACGGTTGGGTAATAGTCACAGGGCAAGAATATGCTCTGCCTCAGCTGGTCAGACAAGCAGCCGCATTCGTGTCGCAACGATCCCGTCCTATCCACAGGTTCAACATGCGCGATTAAGAAAACATGTCCAATGCCAGCAACACTAATTAGAGTGTCTAAGCATGCCTACTTAACGCACTTATTTATCCATAGTTGATGCTTGCGGCAGTTTAAACCAAGGCCCTAAAGGCAGAGATGACGAGCCTGTCCTCCTTACCTGGCTAGACAGGGAATGAACGCGCCCACAGTACGCGGGCCAAAAGCGGGAAGGGAGCTCGCCAAGTGAAGGCTTCTGCGTCCACGGCGGGTCCCGCTCCCGTTGGAGCAAAACTTGCAGAGAGCTGTACATCAGCGTGATGGGTGCACTGTGTGAGTTAACAGCACATCACCATCATAATTGATGGATTCGATGAAAATCTCCGCCTTGCTGATGGTGAGGTCATAGAAGCCATACTGCCCCTCGCCGTACCAATCCTCCGTCTCCTCTGGATTTGGCGTGGCCTCCGACGTAATGCCACCACCACCGCCCGTCACGATGCACGTTACGCCCATGTGGTTCTTGGCATAGTCATCCGGAAGCCACAGCTCCTGGTCATGTCGGTGTCCAGTCACAAGCAGATCCATCCCCAAATCACGCAAGGACTTGTAGAAGTCCTGCTCATGTCTGCAGGGGGAAGTGGGTGACCACGATCTGCCAGTTGGCCTTACTCTGTCCCATGAGCTTCGTGACCCATGGCTTCTGCTCCGCCCAAAGCGAGGCGAACCAGCCAGGGCAGGCATCAACTGACTCGGGGCCATCTGCCGCGGCGCAGGAAGCAGAGGGCTTGTTGTTCTTCCGACTGCACATGTTGTGGTTGGGGTCCTCCTCGGGTGGCATGGCATCGATGAAGTTGGAGTCAAGGAAGAAGTAATCCACATCGAAGTCCTGATCCGCGTAGACAACGGAGGTCTTGTAGTAGGGAGCGGGCATGACCCAACGGTTGCTTGCCCAGGTGTAGGAGATCTGCTGATCCCAGCCGTTGTCGAACTTGAAGCCTCCCCAGTCATGGTTGCCCAAAACACTGAACCAGGGCTTGTTGGTGAGGCCCGCTCCTTGATACACACCTTCGAAGATCTGATCGAACTGGTGCTTCGTCGGATACGAGATCTGATCCATGGGACTCCCACATGTCTTCTCTATACCACCCCAGTAGAAGTTATCCCCAACGTTGAGGATATATTGCGGGTCAACGAGGGCAGCACGGGCTTTAAAGGCGTTGGCCACCAGCAGCTGCGGCTGGTCGTCTACGCCTGCCACGTAGCCACACTCTGGTGTGCATGGCGCCTGTCCGCGGGTGTTAAAGCACTCCACAAGCTGCTTGTGGTCGCAGAACTGCACGGTGTGCTTCTTGTTCCAGCGACTCCTGGGAAAGACGCTGGGCCCTGGCCGGCGTCCCCAATCGTAAGCAACGATGGTCTTCCGGCCCTCTGGTGGGTCCAGGGAACCATCCATGCCACCCCAGTCACCGATGGCAAAGATGTGCATCTCTTGGGAGCCATGGATCACTGTGGTTGGCCAGTGCTGACCCTTGTAGCCCAAGGCGGTTTTGGGAGGAACGCATCCAACACCCTTGTCATTCCCATCGCAGCCCGGGCGATGGCTAGCGAAGAGCTGGTTGCCTGCGAAGCAGTCGCCGCAAGGCGGATTGCTGCATCCAGCGCACGGCGGCAAGCCGCAGAAGGAGTCCCCCGGCGGTGAGCAGAAGTAGAGTCGCTGAAAGTCCTGCAAGTTGCCCTGCTCATGACCTTGCTCCACAAGAAGCAACAGAATCAAACCCAGAATTTCAGAATCATATTAATCTATCAGAACCGGAAACAAACGAAAAGTAGGATACTTATTTGGGGAAGTATGTGACTGACGCCGGTGATCGTCGGCATGCTCTTGTACCAGCCGCCTGCCGCGCTGTCCCACTTGCCCCCTCCGGCTGCCCACTCCACCACTTCCTTGCATCCGGCATTCCTGGGTTCTTTGGTTTAGGGGTTTATGGTTAAGGGTTTAGGGTTTAGGGTGGGGTTTAAGGTTTCGGGCGGTTAACTTCACACATTCGGGACATGTCGTAGAGAAGGCGCCTCGTTACGATGGTATCGTGAATGAGCCGAGAGTCTCCGGCAGATCGAGTCCACCACATCGAAGTCCCCGGGAGCTCGCATCAACCGCGTGCCTGCTCAGAAAGTGAGAAGATCGGTTCACCTGCGCCGCTGCTGGCACAGCAAGCCCAAGGAATATCCACGATGCCCGCATGGCTTCGAAGTCACCAACTGTGGACACCAGGTCTTTTGCCTGTTTTTGCCCTTCGAATCGCGTGCGGAGAGGAAAATCTCACTTGAGTCCAAGCGCCAAGAAAGCTGCCAATCGCAACAAGGATCGCTCCGAAGTGCCCGTATAACGCCCTACGAAACCGGTTAAAACCCTGTATAAGACTCTGCCCATGTAAGACCCCACTGAAAACCTTTCTTAATATTGAAACCCATGACGCAACAATCATGAAAACCTCAATTGCAAGACAAGCAAAATGAAACAATCAGCTCTGACAAACCTCAAAACAACCAAGAAAACTGCGGAAACTACGTATCAGTTGGAAAAGAAGCCGCAACAAATATAGGAACACCTCAAAACACAAGACGAGCATGACCCTATATCCCAAACTCTCATGGAATGAAGCCATTCTTCCGGCCAGAAGGGCCTTGGACTCCACGCACAGCCAAGGCTGCCACCTACGAAGGGCCAAGGGAAGTGGTCCGCTTCGTTTTGGTTTAGGGTTTCAGGGAGTTTAGGGTTTAAGGTTTAGGGTTTAGGGTTTAGGGTTAGGGTTTAGGGTTTAGGGTTAGGGTTTCGGGGAGTTTAGGGTTCACAGAGCTTAAGGAGTCTTGAGAGCTTGAGGAGTTTATCTGTAGGGTGTTGTTCACAGCTTTCCTTTGCTTCTGTACTGCTGTTTGACCGGGGGGTGCCTTGCTAGAGACTGCTAACTCCCTTTCTTCTAAAAGCCCCTAAACCCTACACTGCCCTTATTGGTATTAGTATTCTGCAGCAGGGGTCGCATCGGCACGTAGAATCTCAGGCTTCCGGACCCTGCAAAGCCGGGAACGAGCCACTCCAGGCTTCCGGAAGATCGTCCCAGACCTTCCAATATCCCGTAATTAAGGAATATACCTTAAAATCATAATCGGATCCCTATTCTGATTCAGAGTAAATCCCTAAATTAAGGGATGTTGGAAGCTCTATTGACGTTCGACTGTGGGAGCAGGGACTCGGGTATGGTTGAGGGAGAAGAGGGCTGAAGCTGTGGGAGTCTTTAGTTTAGGGTTTAGGGGTTTAGGGGTTTAGGGGTTTATGGGTTTAGGGGTTTAGGGGCTTAGGGTTTCGGGGTTTGGGGT